GGTTGGCAAGTGTTTTACAACGCTCGCAACTGCATAAAATCATTATGAGCACGCGGGACACATTGAGCATTTTCAGAAGGTAGGACATTTTGAATTATGCTCGAGTAGCGGCCGAAGTCCACTCTTATCGATTTTAGACCACCAATGGATCTTTAACTGGTGCGTAACTTGAACACATGACTTTCGAGATTGTTCGTCCTTATGCAAGAAGGCAAGGTATAGATCTTTCCTACCAGAAGATCAGGGGTGTGGCTGAAAGACAGCAGTATAAAGGAGGCAAGGAGTAGCCGCAGAAAGGCTGCAGAAAGAGTTGGAACCTAGAAGAGGGGACAAAAGAGGTGAGGTGGTAGGGCAGAAAGTGGAAACGAAAGAACATTGCAAGAGAGCAAGAAAGTAGGTGAAAAGAGACAATTTTAGAGAAGAAAATGTTTCAGTCACCATCCTGATTCGCACCCGGGATGCTTTCCACGAGAGCCCCTATAATGTTTTAGCTTCGTTCCTTATTATTATGTTCTGCAACCATGCTACTATATCTCCCATAAATAAACACGTCCTGCTTTTTGTGAAATCAGGTCCAAAAACATTTTAGTAAATGCAAACTTTACTTAATAGCTGCTGTTCTCCATTATAAGGGTACACAAATGCTTACTTTTACTGTGGAAACACACCAAAAAAATGTATTTGTTTGTTTCTTTAGTAGTTTTTAAAAATCTGTTTGTTTGTTTGATTTTTTTTGTTTTACTTTTTCAAAGTTGTAGAATTTAGATATCAGATCAACTCTTCTCATGGTGTTTTTTGGTCGTTATAATTCCCCCCCCCCCAATCCACCCACCCCGCTCTCAACTGGTCTTTTCCTCACACATGATGGTACAGGAGGTAAGCGGAAACATTATTAAAATATTTTTTTCGTGATTGCCCCCCACAATATGCCAAGCATATTTCGGATTATATGGTGGCGTCCAAAAGAAACTTGAACATGTAATCACATAATTATCGTAAAATTGGCTTGTAACACCCACTCTTGCAGCATACCAATTTAAAGCTGAATAAATTCTGCATCATCATCTGACACATTAATGATTCATCTATGTTAAGAGACCCCTCAGATATGGTCAGTCTAAAAAATCAGGCATGGAAAAATCGTGCTAAATCAGAAAGACGCAAAAGTGTGTTCGAGCGAATATTGAAGTGCGTCAACATTGGTTGAATGAATATGTTTTGAACATCAAATGAAAAGAGAATATCATTGTCTCTGCAATGAACAGCATCTTCTGGTGATATTTCCCTAGAGATTGGAGAATAGAGCAGTTACAAATATCACATACAATCTGGACGCAAAATAGCTTGTTTTTTATTAGTATTAGTTCTGTTTTTGTTTAGGAGCATTTAGTTTCGTGTCGAGCACGAAACCCTTTTTTTTTTGCACACCGACTGTGTTAATTAGATTTTGGACATAATCATCTGTCAGTGAGGACCAGAGGCCTCGAAACTGCCATGGTTTTGGGTGGTCTGGGGTGGAATGAATAAAATCGCCCTCATGGGAATCAGTGGATGCTTGGTTTCGTGGACTCCATCGCGCAAGTGCTGGAACGCCATGTCTTACCCTTATTTTAGTCACGGTGTTGTTCAGATAGACATCTCTATGCACAGAAAAGGACTTTCTCACCGGTCCAATGCCACTAGATAATTCTTGGAAAACCAAATCATTTCAACATTGGAGTGGTCACCAGTAAACATATTTCACCTATAGGAATCCAACAGGTATGGGAAGAGTGAAGTACCAAGAACCAGCAGCTGAAAAAAGTGACTTACTTAGCTCCCAATTCAGACCCTATGTTTGCAACTTTCTATGACATTTGGGATGAAATAACAGATAGCTGGGTCCAAAATTTAAATACAAAAATAATGGCTCTTGAGCAAAACAACTATAAGCGCATTTAATGTTAAATCCAAATTTTGCGTGGTATTTGTGGTTGATCTGTTTTCTGTCCTGTTTGAAACTACCGTGATAAGATACCAGAACAAAATAACATTATTGTATATCGCGATACAAAATTCTCCATTCAGTGTATCACATTTCTTTTGCCAAGCCTGATTTTTAAAACCAATTTTGAGTGACTATATCTTGGTCGTCTCTTAACATAGACGAACTATTAGTGTGTCAGATTATGCAGAATTTATTTAGCTTTAAATTGGCATATTGCTATGCTGCATGAGTAGGTAATGCGAAGTTTTAACACATTGATTGAGCGATTACATTTTCAAGTTTCTTTTGGGCGCCATTGTAATTTAAGTTATACCTTAGAGCAGCATTCAAAACAAAGACATGTACCTCGCTGTCGGTATAAGAAAGAGAGAGAGAGAGAGAGAGA